AACCGCTCTGACGGATGTCGCCAAAGGACGCGCGTGCGACGACCGATAACGCCCGCGTCGATCCTCGGGGGTACCTGCCCCCTCTGACGGGCAACGCGAATCGTCGCGTGTTGTGGGAAAGGAAGGTCGTCCAAGCGAAATTGCCGAATTACCGACCACTCCTTCCAACACTCCTCCAACGATTCCGCCAACGATTCGATCGCGGGAAGCGCGAACCTTGTCATTAAGCGTGCTAATTTCGCACCACGAGAGGGTAACCGCGCGTCTCGAACGCGATCCTCGCTTCCGGCGACGCCTCGCGCGATTCGAGCGTGTCCCGAAAACCGCCGGCCATCCGAATAATCCGAATTTCCCGTGTATTTCTCGCGCGAGACTTTACTCGCCGCGCGGAACACCCCTTGGGCAATTAAAAAAACTATAAACCGCTTAACGCGACGCGGCTCGCGGCGAACGTAAAGTCGTAAAACGATATAACGAATAATACGAGCGTTCGTGGCTCGGCTTCTAATTGTCAGTCGTGCCTTTGCGTCTTTCCCCGCTTTTCCGCGCTTCGGCCACCGTAATCGTTCAACCTCTCCTCTCTCCTTCGCCTTCTCACCCCGTCGCACTTGCGCTCTCTCTCTCTCTCTCTGTGTCCCCGTCTCTGCACACGCGTACGCGGTGGAGCGCGCGCGCGCACACACACGGGGTGTCGGGAACCCTCGAATCTCTTTGCTAAAAATTGCCAGCGTCGACGGATGCGTTTATCCCGAAAAACGACGACGCGGTCAATTTCTCCGCTTTCTCCATCGCCTCTCCTCTCGTCCGATCTTTTCGATTTCTCGCTTTATAAACTCGATTGCCGGGGCGTAGAGACGCGAGAGATCTCCGTGAGCGAACGGCGGGCGACATTTTCCAAATTATAAATTTTTACGACGCCTCGCGCTGCGCCTTCTCTCTCCCTCTGTCCCTTTCTATTATTTCCCTCGTCGAGGGCGCGCCCTTCCTCCTCGTAGATCGCAGCAATCCCGTCAGTCAGATTGGATTTGTCCGATTTCGCGCCCGGAGTGGAAAAGAACGCGCGAGGGTCTGCGATGCGCGCGTTCCGCTCCCTCTCTCGCTTCCTCCTCGCTCCGACGCTCAACCACCCTCGATATTATTCCTTTTCACGCTCGTTCTCGTTCGTCGAGCGAGAAACAAAGAATCAGCCGGTTTACCGCTTCCTTCCTCGCCCCCGGGTGCCGCGGCCAAGGATATGTA